CCAAGACAATGGTGCCCCAGGAAATGTCTCTGGAGGGCTCCGGGCTGTACCTCTCTCTACTTTGCAGAAAACTTTGGTGTCAAGTTAGAACTGGCGTTCAAACGCTCATTTTATTCGCTCCCACTTAAGCGTCTTCCTAAAAACCATAGTAACCTCTCACACCTCCAGCCAGAGCTCCGAGGCCAACCCCGCAGCGCCTTACAATCACCCAAACCTGGCCTCCCACAAGAGGGTCGTCCTCTCCTGACAAAAATCTGGCCCGAAGCTGTTAGATCTTTTCTGTTAGAACTTTTTTAGTCATAAATCTTTTATTAACATTTGGTGTATTATACTAATTAAACTGTTCTCTGTATGTATTGTATTAATTTCCCTAGCACTTCTTGCTGGGGTGACGTTTTAACCAGCTATGTAAGCAGAATGTAGCACAGTAATTAAGAAGAAACTCATTTCAGACAATTAGCCTTGCAGAAAAAATAAGTTAGTTAATGGGCATGATGATTTTCTACTGCCTAAATAAACAGGGTATCTTAATGGTAACTCTTCAAGCTAAATAAACAGATTGGGGTGGTAATGTCTAAGCAATACTTAAATGTAACAGTTTAATAAATTGTTAAATTACTCATTTCTTAGAACAAAATGGTAATACTGTAGTAATAACCTACAATTATATATTCAGTAAATATGAGCATTATCACTTTGCTCTGTAGAAATCACCACAGTGATATGTCAGCATTGATCTAAAACTGCAGCATTTTATCTCAAGTTTATTACCCATTTTTTGAGAATGCATACAGATTTTCAGAGCATAATAATAAAAGAAAAGAATTTAAAAGCACTAATATTGCACTCGGGTCATCTAAAATTATCCTCGGGAAAAGGAAATTTGGTAAAACATAAGTTATGTCGCAGCATCATTTTAAACTTACTTTGGACACTAGAGATAATAAATGGCGCCACTGAATTTCCATGAAATAACTTTTAACATCAATGACGGTAAGTACCACTGTTCACCCAGGAATTGCAAGAACAATATGCTGAGCCAATTTTATTAGCCATTTTTCTTTATAAAAAGCAATCCAGCCCTTTCCACAACTGAGGGAGACAAGACAAAGTTCACGTGCTAATATACAAAATGCATTTAGTTTTTGAAGTAAGTAAGTGTGCCCAAAAGATAGAGTCTGGAGACAAATGAATGATCATTAAAAAAGGATAAAGCTCTCGAGTTTATATTTGAAACTTTTGATAAAAAAAAAAAAGCCGAATAAATTGTTTACAGCATTTTCCCATTTGCCAAAGCATGTGGTGTGCTTTCAGATCTTGAGATGGAAACCATAAATCCCAGCGATTGATCTGCAACGAAAATATATTTTTGTAAATTGTTGCCATTGATAAATCATTTTTTAAATACATATAAAGTGCAGGTTCAACTTTCTCTTCATGGTGCCCTTCCTGCAGAGAAGCCTCGGGCCTCTGACCTCTGCTTGCAAGCACAGCCCGACAGGGTGGGGCTTGCTGGCTGCCACTCAGCTCAAGCCGAACACAGCTCAAACTGTGGCCAAGGTGGGGCTCAGGACTCACTGAACCACCACTAGAAGGCTGCGTGCTACAGGCCTTATGGGGCCCAGGAGAAGCTTGTCAGGGGCCGGCGGTGCATGGCCAGGTGGAGGCAAAACCTGGCTGATGGAAGAAATCTAAGGCGATCAGCCCAGACTTTGACCTTCCAGGACCCTCAGCCAACTCTAGGCTGAAGGTCTTCTTAGCTATCACCTGATGAATTTGAGAAAAAACAAAACAATCCACCTTGTGATCTTTTAATTCTTGGATTATACATATCGGAACACAGTGCCCTCTTCCTGCTTGCAGACAGGTTACAAAGGGGCCTGGGGTCTTCCTCAGGAAGCAGCTCCTTCTGGGTAGGTGAGTGGGCTTCAATATTCTGTGGCAGGCTTAAAAGAGAGAGAGGGGAGAAGATGAAGGCAATGGGGGCAGCTCAGCAAAAGTCTTTGCTGGTTGCAGACAGAGAAACAGGCCTGGACTAATCCCACTGCCCCCAGCCCCAGCTTATCTGTTGTATGTGTTTCATCCTTACCTCAGATCTTCCACATCTGCTGTCTACTCCCTGATATATGTCATCACTGACACTCCCTCCCTCAGAGCCCGGGAAGCAACAAGTTTGCTAGCTGCGGCAATGGGAAAAAGCCACAGACTTTTCATGTTTAAGTCTGAAAACTACGCCAGCCTACAACATGTCCTTGACTTGTCCCATCATGGGCAGGAACTTCCGGCTTTGGCTGACTTGGGCTGTGATGTCAAGGGAGGTAAGAGCTGTCACCCGGACTGTGGGAGTGAGGGGAGCATGCTAGTCTAGAAACTGCTAAAATGCCTTGGATCAATGCATGTTAAAGTCTAGGCATTTGATTAGTTTCTCATCTGTAAAATGGGGTTTCTGTTTTATAAGATTATTGTGAAGGGATCAAGTAAGAAAATACATGTGATGGGGAAGCCTGGGTGGGCGCCAGTTGGTTCATGAAAATCCGACTTCAGCCAGGTCACGATCCTTCATGATCTGTCCGTGAAGGTTGAGCCCCGCATCAGGCTCCTGGGCTGGCTCAGGAGCCTGGAGCCTCTCTATTTCGATTCTGTGTCTCCCTCTCTCTCCCTGCCACCCTCCCAGATTCCATGCTCTGCTCTCTCATCCAAAAATAAAATAAGCATTCTTGAAAAAAAATTAAAAAAAAAAAAAAAATATGAGTGTATTGAGCTGCGGTGTAACACACGGTAGGCACTCATGTAATATTGGGTTTCTCCCCTCTGTGGAGGCTATGTCTACTGGATTGCAATCCCTTCTGGACATTGGTAATTCTTCAACACCCCCAAACTCAAATTTCTTGTCCATCAAATGGGATCTATGTTCTGAGTTTGTTTTAACAGGTCAATGATAGAGATGCTTATTAGCCAAAATGTAGTCACAGCTTTAGCTGACCGTGAATCTACCAAATGCTGCCATGGTGTTATTTAAACACAGCATAAGGCTGAGCAATCGTGTGCCCAACATCAACCAAGTAAGCAAAACCCCCAGAATACAGCAAGAAGCTAGTTACTCTTACGCACTTAGAATAATCTAGATTTTCCAGCAAATCTGAAGACTGCATTAGGGGAGGTATTGCTGAACTGGGTAGTCAGGGCTCTACCTCAAACACTTAACTGGTTTGAATTCTGGCTCAATAAAAACCCAATGTCTGACCCTGAGCAAGCGACTTGTCTTCT